CAAAGAAGAATAAATTTGATTTTCTTTGTATGGCAGCAGTGCTATATGTACATTTTGGGGACAGTCACACAAGCAAGTCTTGCGCTGAGGAATGCCTGCAGAGGGTGTGGTGGGAGGAGGCACTTAATATAGTTCATGTAACGACTTGGAAGTGGCCGATCTATATATATATATGAGATAAAAATAGTGCTATTTAGTGCTGCAATTAGTGTCACTGTGTTACAGGGCAAACCTCTCTGTGTGCTTTATACAATGTGTTTTTATCCATAGCTGCTTCTTCTAAAGTATGTGATTCTGTGATTATCAGTTGTAACAACTCATCAGTGTGCCAAATAATTTTTGTTAGGTGGGTTCTGAGAATCTGCCAGTTTATGATTCTGCCTATTTGTTGTTGTTAACTACGCCTAAATCTCTTATTTTCAAAATTGAACTTAATTTGCTTCGATTTATTGGTCTGGACTTGGATTGGAATAGTATGGGTTGGGCTTTCATAGGCTCAGCAAGTGGTTTTTATAACTCCTCCTCAGTCCAGTTTTCTGCTACATGCCATAGGACTCTGTGATATTTCTTAATTACTGGGAAGAATTTCACTGGGCTTCTGTCCTGGGGGTCAGTCTCTCTCCCCTTGCTCCAGCAGGGCTGTGATACTGGTTATTTGGGGATTTTCCAGCATGACAGCTCCTTGCAAGCCCTCTGTTCGGTCCTCCACAAAAGACAGCTTCTAACATAGTTTTTTACAGGTCTGCACTAACACTTCTTGTGTTTTCTGAGTCACTGTCTTTGCTGAGGCAGTTGGTTTCTTCTTCATGTTTTAGTGTTGTTTTCTGTCCTTACAACAGCTAGTAACAATCCTTTTATATAATTCTATAGATGTGCTTCTCGGATGACCCACTGCCCCATTTCCCTCTCTTTCCTCACCCTCTTTCTTCTTCCCTCTCCTGTTAAACACTTCCCTGACCAACTTAGCACTTCACAACTGGAAAGATGCGCTGTCTTGGTTTGCTGGCTTTGAAATGTCCTTTTCTATGTCAAAGCTTGTATTAATCTTGCTGCTTTATGTGGGCTTCTGGAAAGGACATGAATAAAGGTAGATGAGCCATACATTCAAAATGAGATTTACATTAAGTCATTAACAGATAAACCTTCTGTGTTTCTGATATTAAACAGAGTTCATGACCGGATGTATCGGCTTCCTAAATATGTACTTATCTTACTGACAGAAGCTTTTTTGGCAGATTTATGGTGGCCAGGTCAGCTCTGGTGGTTTTGGACAAAACTAAATGGCAATTTATGAAACTTGTTACTGCCTTGGTCTGGTATGTTAACTACTATTTGATATTTTTTTGTTTAAATATTTAGTCTAAAATGAGAAGTACATTGATTGCTTCAAATTAATCAGAAAGGGAAAGTCATTTGTGATGACAACATCGTTTTAAATATCCTTCTCCAATTAGATGGCACTCACTCGCTCTTTTAACTTAGGTGGCATTTCCTACTAATGCAAAGAATTTTCCTGTCTGTTTTACGAAGCCATATGAATAATAAACTACACTGAATGTTTTATTACCATGTTTATCAGTTGTCATACTGATAATATCACCAGCAGCTTGCTTTCATATTTTCGCCTCAGAGGGAGAATTGTCTCTTTCAAGCAAGTATGAAATTAATAAAGCTGGGATGTTGATCTGTAAAAAAAAAGTGATTGCGTGCACTTTTCTGCAATGCAAAAATAAAAGTCACATCTGAGCACTTAAGAGAAAAAATATTATCTGCAGAAAAAGGATTAAAAAATTATAGTTTATCTTTAAAATTTTGTACGCTGCTATTCTGTGAAAGGTGCGCTGGTGGTTGTGCTCTATCCCTGTCAAGAAGGGAACAGCATCAAGTGGTTTGTTGTACAAGACTTGTATGGCATTCATGTCAAGCTAAAGCTTTTCCCTTGCATTCTTTTAATGTGAATGCTTTTATCGGTTACACTGGGGGAAGAAAACACTGGCTGTTCTGCCCAAACAAATGCTGTTGACCCAAAGAGTGAAGGATGTAAGGTATACTTTTATGCACTGTTTTGTTCTACAGCTTTGCTACTTTACCTCTGGCATCCTTAAACATGTAATTTATGGAAAAAAAATAGAAATCATAGTACATCTAGTTACATAAGCCTTTGTAAAGAGGGAGACTTTTTGCTGAAGCCTCCTTTGAGACTGTGCAGCAGACTGCTTTGTTCTGATCTGATTATTCTCTCACATTGGTCAAAATTAGCAAGGACACAAAAATAGATGTCTGTTGAAATGTTTGTTTGGGCTCTTTATCTTCACCACCTCTTCTTGCATGCTGAATTTTGCTCTTCTTTGGTTACTCTACCACAATCTGTGGCACTTTCTTGCTACCATTAGAAGAAGGTTCATGTTAGAGTAAAACAGGCAACATCTCAGCCAAAGTTGCAGTTAGATGCTGCAACAGAGATCTACAGCATCAGAGACATGGAGTATGTAACTTTTTTTTTTAAAAAAAAAAAAGGCAAGCATGTGTTCAGACTTCTTTTCAAACTAAAACCTCTTTTAAAACAACTAGTTACCAAACTAGTAGGCAGTTGCCTGCTGCTTCCCTGCTGTGTCCTTGGCTGGGATACCCTTAGTCCATGGTGTTTTGTCTGTGCTGTGACCTGGCTGCAGGATTGTGACTGAGTAACCACATTGAACAGTTTCCTGATTCAGTAGAATATGGTTGAAATTTTGGTAGATGTTTATTTTGATCACGGTTAAATGTACTAATTTTAAATATGCTCTCAGCACTGCTGGCTAATTCAGTACAGATATTAACAGAGGTGAAACAGTATATAGTTTAACATGTACTAAACTCAATAGAGTTGAAGACTGGAATAAACATTATTTTCTCTTGCCTTTTAGTGTGAACTTTCCTGAAAAGTTAATATTCTTTTTTGCCTTTATTTTCTAATACATAAACTGAGGGACAGCATACTTCAGGCCTCCATATAGTTTGAGTTGCATTATACCCCAGGTATAACATGCTCATTGAGAATGTTACGTTTTCCTGACCAGAACAAACTGTCAGAAATGAACCAATAGTGTCAAACTTGCTTTAATTACAGCTAAAATTAATGAAAAGGGAAAATGTAAGTTTTGCTAAGTCACCTTGATAGTGTGAGCTGTGTAAAATGCTTGCACACTGACCAGCTTGACTGCCTTCTGTGAGGAAATAGCTGCTTGTGCATGGGGGGAGAACAGCAGATGTTGTCTGCCTGACTTTAGCAGGCCTTGGGGATGGTCTCAGGTAGTAGTATCTTTATAGACCAATTCCTCAAAGAGTCAGCTAATGCAGGCAGTGTAAGGTGGCCACAGCAAGGGGCTCAAAGCCTTGTGATCAGCAGTATGAAGCCGAATGGTGGCTGCCTGTTTGTGGCATCCCACAGGGACTGATCCTGGTACAGTCTGTAACTCCTTTATCAGGAGCTGGATTCACCCTCAGTGAGTGTGTAGATGACAGCAGCTTGGTGGGAGCAGAGGGCCAGCGGCAGCCATGGGTGTTGCCTGTGCGCCGAGGGAAACGGTCATTCCCCTTTCTTGGGCCCTGCTTTTGCATAACTGAGTCCAGTGTGCGGCTCCCCGCCGCGAGCCAGGCTTTGGCATGCTGGAGTGAATCCAGTGGGGCACCACCAGGATGATGGGCGGTTGGAGCACAGGAGAGGTGGAGAGAATGGGGTTCGGCATCAAGAAGAGAAGGCTCTTGGTGGGAATTGTGTTGCTGTCATCATGCAGCTTGTGTGTATATGGATATAGAGCAGCCAGAGCTACGCTCTTGGAGTTGCACATGACAGAAAAAGAGGCAATGGGCATGAGTTTAAAGACAGGAAATTTGGATTGGATATTAGCAGGGGGAAAAACAATAGAGAGTAATCAAACACAAAAACAGGTTACCGAGGAAGTGGGGAATCTCCATCCTTTGAAATACAGCTCCACTGGGCATCGCTGTAGACAGCTGCTTCTAATGTCCCAGACTGGAGCAGGGCATTGGTTTAGAGATCTCTTCCAACATAAATTACTGTTACTCAGAGTTTTCTACTTGTTATTCACGTAAGAAGCAAGTGGCAAAATTGGCAGTCTTAATATGACAGGCTGTAAACTGACAGTGCAGGGGTTGGTTTACAAGCTGTTAAACTGCCCAAGGCTTCAGAGCAGAGCTCTTACGGGGACACGTTCTGTACGTTGGCCCAAGAACCTTGCCAGCTACTGCAGTTACACGTGTATATCTGTGTTTAAATCTCCTGACTGAAATGAGTGGGAGCCTTTTTTACCTTTGGTGCTGGTGGTGATTTCATCTCTGTCAAGCTGAGTATGCATCTCTGTAATTGGTTTTATTCCTAAGTCACTGAGGTATTTCTGTATCAAATTGGAAAGCACCTTTTTGACTAAAGTGTTCTGGGCGTTTATACGCTATCTTTAAAATGTTTAGTTCATATCCCTTTCAGGACAGATCATTTAAACGGACCATTTGTACCCTAAAAATACCTACAATGGCAAGAAGGCAAAGCAGAGGAAATGTTAAATAGTTCTTGAAAGTAGAGAAATGAAAATAGAGACTAGTGCTCTCAGATTTATTTGCTTTCAGAGCTGAACTCTAGAGATGAGTGTCTAAAGAAATGAATTTTCAGTCCCTTAATTGTGCATTTCTGGGAAAAAAAAATGCTAAATATTTATGTTCTCATAAATTCCATTTGGAAAATATGCACAGAAACTCAATCATATGAGTGGGGAGAAATGTCAGTCATAACATTTTTGTGTGATCAGAGAAAAATTTTTAGTGAGGGATTCACTGTCAGACATATGAAAGAACTAATAAATTTTAAGAAAAAGAGGCGTATTTGGGGAACATATTAATTTTAAAGCCATAAAAGAAATCATTGAGAAGGATATTAGTGAAGAGTGTAAATTAAGAACTTAAACCCAAAATTCCAGAATAAATTTGTTTCTCTTTCCATACAGACTTTGCTGGAATATGCAGAAAAGTGGAAAACATCAGAAGATCCTCTGCCATTGTTAGAAGTGTACACGGTGGCTATCCGAAGCTATGTTAAAGCACGACCTTTTCTTACCTCTGAGTGTGAAAATGTAGCCTTTGTGCTTGAACGTTTAGCACTGTGAGTATGTTTCTTTATTAACTTTCCGTTGCCTAAATGCTTTCTGAGTTGAATTCACAATCTATAAAAATTCTCAATAAGGTGGAAAATACCTTTTTTCCTCATGGTGATCTGTGTCTGAGAAAAAAAATCTTTGGTTGTTGAAAATGGAGGAATCTCTCCAAGAGTTGGTTCTGGATCAAGCAAACATCCCTAATTAGACATCCCTTGTTAGAAATGGTCAGTTTACTTCATGCAATCTGAAAGTGCATTTAGTTACTCAGGGGTTACTATGGGGTTGGACTTTAAAAGAAAATCCTTTTTTTTTTTTTTCTTTTTTTTTTGGAATTAGTGTGTTGTAGAGACCATGCATTTATAGTTTCATGTCCAGTATTTCTTTTTTTTATATGATTTAGAGAAACAAACTGTTTTGCGACTCTTTGTGATTTCAGACAAATTAGTATTTTCAAAATGGAATAAAGAGCTATACATTACACATCTTAAAAAATAAAAGTTGCCTGAAATTCCGTTTCAATTATCTCCTAGAAGCTGTATTGAACTCCTACTGTGTCTGCCTCTTGATTTACCTGAAAGTAAATGGGAAGAATTTCAGGCTTTTGTACAGGTGAGTTTGCTTCATGAAATGAAGACTTAACAGCTTTTACAAAAGGTTTGGAAAATTAGGGGGTGTTAAGTATGTGGTCTGTCCAAAGACTTGTTTCTTACTGCATGATAAATATCAAGCCCTTCAGCTGGAAATTCCGTGTACTCTGAAATAATTAAGTTGTCAGTCAGATCACTTGTCCTTGGAGTCATGTAGCAGCTGTGGAAAAGTAATATATTAAGATACTTAGAAATAAGGTAATGTTAAAAAAATACTTGTCTATTAGTACTGTTAGAAATGAAGTAATTTCATGAGTCACTCTTTGATATTTACTGTTTGTACTTTTGAGGTTCCATATGAGTGAAAACATCTATTGGTACTGCAGGATCTCCCAAAGGCACTAATAGCTTAAGGATTAGTGCTGTACTTTGGAGAAGGATGTGGTTCAGTTCCTCAGTATTAATGAAACCAAGTGGTATGAGGTCCTGTCTAGAATTTATAAGAAAAAAAAGTGTGTGCAGTGGGGAGAAATAGCTGAAAAAGAGTTTTCCCAGCCTCTGTTAAGCATAAGAAAAGTTCTTTCTTCTACGTATTCTCAGCCTACATTAAGCATAGGAAAATACAAGGGTGTTTTTTAGAGTACATTTTTATTATAAACTGCCAGTTATAATTATAACTCTTAAGAGATGTGTTTTGTACGAGAGGTTCTGCATCCTTCAGAGCAAATTCAAACTAAAAAAAGTGAAAAGATTTAGATGATCCCTTCCTGTTTTCAGGAGGTGTTAGTTGTGGATTACTATTTAACCCACATTCAAAGTAATTATTTTGGTTCCAAACATCCCTCTGATTCTCTAAAATTGCAATCTAAATGCAGTGGAAGTTATTTTAATTGATTTGGGGACTTTTGTCTACCTTAATCATAGTTGCATACAGTGACTAAGTGAGCTGTTACAGCTCAAATCTTTGGCCTTCAGTAACAGTTCAATCTGCTGGTGCCAGCCCATTATGTGAACCATAATATTTTCTCATCCTTCATTTTAAGAGAGGCGTATTTCAAAATTGCATTTCAGAAATTTAAGAAAAGGCTCAATTAACAATCTCAAGGTTTGGGACGCTCATCCTTTGTGGTTTTTTTGTCTACATCTCGAGAGGCAGAGATAACACCTATACAGACTGAACATTAAGGTCTTTATATTGTACATTTTACTATTTGTCTGAGTGTTTCTATTTTAACATAAGGTATAAAGCTCATATGTTCTTAAACTTCTCTGTTGTTTGTTTGCTTGTCTTACCATATTTTGTTTTATAAAACATATCCTTCAGGTGGCGCATAAAAACTTGATGGAAAATGGCAGCCAGGAACTTCATATTTTAACTACACTTACTCAAGAGAAGGGAGTGTGGAAGAACCCAGTGTTGTGTAGTATTCTTTCCCAGGAACAGCTGGATCCAGATAAAGGTAAAATCTAAAACAATGTATGGGAAAATACAGCTCATTATGATAATATATTGAAATAGTATTATGACAGATAATAATATTATGTTAAATATGTTTAATGTAATAAGTTTGTAAATTATATAAATAAAGTATACCTGTAGAGTTTTCTGAATTATTAAAATAGTATGTTCCTAAGAATATACAAATAATTTAATGTTAGTAATTTGCTTAAGGCATAATTGTAACTGGATTTCTTTCTTTTCTTGATGGGTCTTTTGATTTCCCTGCAAAGGGAAATGACATACAGCTTTTTTATGATGGGATGAGATGCAGTAAAACAAAAATAAAAAATATATATTTAAAAATATATTAGTATGGTCTTTATTCAACTGTGAAAGGCAAAGAGGATCATTACCAAGGAGTCACTTAGATTGCAGTTTGGCTAACAGCAGTTGCATGGGGAAGAGTGTATGAACAACACAGGTGTTGTAGAGTGTTATTTTCCCTATGTATTACTTCATGAACTAATGATCTGCAGTTCAGAACTGGTGTCCTTGTGTTAACAAGCCTTGACAGATAAGATCCTCTTATGTGAGGATATCTAATTGGTTTTTGAATGTATATGAACTGTCGTGACTTAAGCATCTGTGACAGTGAGTTCCACAGATTTTACATCAGGCAACGTAGTTCCTTTTACTGTGTGCTTCCTTTCAGCCTGATTTGTCTGATGTCCTCCACTTATTAAAAAGAGAATTACTGTGCCCATCTTCTAATGAATACGTCTTCTCAGTAAAGCATGATTCATTAGACTGCTATCATATCCCTGCATTTTCTGTTTGTAGTGTCTTTAGTCTGTTTCTACCTTCTTCTAGCTTTACTAAATTTACATTTACAGAAACGTTTCATTTCTGATTTGGGGAACCAAAAGCTTATTCAGCAGTCAACTTGTAGACGTGCCTATTTTCCACTTTATTCTGTACTCCTTTCATAATATTTCCTAACATTTGATTTTTTGAGTGAGTATCGAATCAATGTTTTCTTAAAATTGTCTCTTACAGTCCCACCTTGCTTACTCAGTATTATTTCACAGGGCTGTTTTTTTGGTTTTTGTTTTTGTGTGTGTGTGTGTATAAAGCTAGAATTGTGTTTTGTTTTGTCTTCCGTGAAAATTACTTACATTTTTTATTAACCTTTGAATTTCATCTATTACATCAATTTATGATGTGAAATCCCATTCAGTACTTTACAATTGGCTTTTTGTTTCCCACTCTGCTTTATCAGTTTGTTTTGTCACCTTCTCCTCTACCCCTTTTTCAAATATTCATTAAAAAGCTGGATGGCAGAGTCCTGGTACAGATCCTCAGGGAACCTACTGAGACTTTTTCCTTTTTTAACTGATTATTTATCCATATATAGGTCATCTTTCTAATACCAGAATAGCTCAGTATCTTTAAGAGCTTTTGAGGAACTTCATTTAAGGCCTTTAGAAAATTAATTGCATCTCCCTTATCCACATTCTCATAACTCTCTCAAATGAGTCCAATAAAGGTCTAATATGATTTTTTTTTTTTTTTTTTTTACAAAAGTCATGCTTGCTCCTCCATAAGATTGTCTTTTTGATCCTTCTTTTAGTATTTGTTGTGCCTCTAATACAGACATCAGGTTTATTGATACGAGTTCTCAGAAACCCCCTGAATACTGTTTTGAATTGACTTTCCGATCTGTTGCTGCTTAGTCCTCTTAATATTAAGGTACTTTTAAGAGAGAGGTCAACTTAATATTTTAGTTGCCTTATATTTTGGTTTATTTATAACTTCCTTGGGAATCTTGTCATCATGACTATGCATTTTGTCTGTGTTTTCTGATAGCATCTTTTATTGGCAGCTCAGGATTTGTTTTAGTCCTGAGTGTTGTTTACTCAAAGATGGTTCTGCCTTGTAGTGACAGTTATTACATGTCATGAGGGTAGAAAATGCTGCTTTTCTAAATTGCACAAGATTACATGTTCTGATAAAATGTTTTCAAAAGCAGAGCAACCACTTCTGCCAAGTGTTAGTTTACGTGATATTCAGGAGGAAGAAACTGGTAAAGGCACTGACTAGTGCCTTGACTGAGAGTGCTGGCTGCTGGGATACTGATAACGAAGCCGCCAATATTGGTATTTTTGGTGCTGGTGGGTTCTTCTGACTCTGTTGGAAGCCACTTGTGCCCCTTAATCCAGGAAGCAATGGCAACGGGCAAACCATTTTTGACATCTGTACCAGTAATTTTCATGCTTTTGCAATGCAACTAGCCTGGATGTAGTTTTTCTTCTAGTATTTACTTCAATTTCCAGGTTAGCTCCCTCGGTATTCGTTGTGTGTCGCTCTGGGACCACTGCTGACCCCAGTTTCTGGGGCAGTCTAAGGGAAGTGTTGATGCCATTAAATAGAAGCATTTTGTTTCTGTCTTACTAAAACAACTAAAGCTGCTGCCTAACTCTTAAGGAGAGGACTGAGTGAAGAAGTGTTCAACATTTTGAGGAAGGATGAGTGTGCTCTTTAAAAAAAATGGGAGTTGTCAATAAATTCAGGATTTTGTCATTGTAACCTTATTCTGTTCAACTTTAGAGTCCAGATTGGTGGATTAGGGGATGTATCCAGTTTGGAGATTGTTAGGCATGTCCTTACATCTCTTTCTTTCTTTTTTACCATATTCTCATCAATTAAACCAACATGAATCATTTGGTTGCCCTGGGCTTTTTCTTTTCCTTCCTCTGGATAAGTTGGTGGGTTCTTTTGTATCAATGACAAGATTTTCATGTTATATTTCCATATATTTTTACTTAGATTATAAGCAGTTCTCCAGGTAGTGCTCCCCTCTGTAATATTGCGTTGTTTTCTGTCTTCTTAGTTTGTAGACGATTTTAGTAATACCCAAATTACCAAGTACAGAGAGCTTGTTTTCTTGTCTGTAATCCAGCACTCCTACTGGCTCTTATTGTAGCCCTCTTTCAGTGAGTGTCTGTCTCTCAGCAGGTTGCAACATTAATTCTCCTATTCTGTGTTAACTTTTCAGAATATTTGTAAACTTTACTGAAAGGATTTCATTATGTTTTTGGTGCTACCTTTACCAGTTGCTATTACAGAACTTCCCAACTTGTTTCAAACAAGTCAGCTTGTTGAACTGGGATGTTGTAATTTGTCAAATTTGGTTAATTCAGGCTTTTGGTAATGATTTGCAGATTGCTGATCTATTAGAGATGAGACAGTTGAGACTGGAGATATTTTTAACTTGCTCCATGCTCTTAATTTTTTTTTTTGACTATCTTTTTAATTTTCCCTTCATCTTCATTTTATTTTACTAGTGTCTTGCCAGATTTAGTTAGGACAGGACCAAATAGATTATAACCTATACAGAATCTTTGATGCAACTGGATATCTGCTGAACATTGGGTGATTCTCTCTGCTGAAAGCCTTCTGTTGCTGACTGAAGGTCAGTTTGTCTTTTTGCATCTTCTGCAGGAAGCTGGGCACAACTAAGTGTCCATTTCGTAACAAAGATCCTTTTAAACTGGTCTGTTTTGAAAGTGTTCAAACATTGAACATAGTTGAGATAGACCAGTTCAATTTAATTGACCCCAGAACATAGTTGGTTTGGTTTCTGGTTATTATGCTTCAGCAAATGCTGACTTGTCTATACAGGACTATTCTTTCTCTGTCCCAGAGTTGAGAAAGATTGTTGCATGGGTTCCACCTAAAATATGGGCAACCATTTCCTAAGATATTAGGAAGACTGTTTTTAGAGTGTCCTATCCTTGAGTGCAGGTTTCCTTTCTCCAGGCAAGGCTTAATTTTCTGATGAACGTCAGTAGCTCAGAATACATGAACTAAGGAGCTCAAGCTGAAGTAGAGGAAATACTCATAGATGTTTGGAGCACTGACAAGGACAACATGCCTCTCTGATGTCTTTGATGGTGGTGATAGATGCTATTGCATTACTACAGGATGTTCATACAGTACTGTGAACCCTTTGCACAGTACTATGAAACATGTACACACACAAAAATCACATATGTGTACAAATAAAATCCCTTTATATTGGAAATATTCTCAAATCATATGATTTGTCACATATTTGAGTCCTAGGATCTAGCCAAACATTGGCAATACTCTTACTATTAGGCTCTCTCTGATAGTGGAGGTTAGGAAATCTGGTTTAAGTTATCAGATTCTGTGCAGCAGATGTCACAGAATAAATCTTCTCTCTTTGGGAACCCTTTTAATACTAATATGCCACAAACTTTTTTCTAAAGAATCTCAATCTTTCACCAAGTAGAACATCAGCACTATTGGATTCTGTTAATTCCCACAACTAGTTTTTCTGCTTACGGAGAACTCTACGGGTGCAACTTCTATCATCAGCGTCACATTCCTTTTCCCTACCACCTGCCTTTTTTTTTTTTTTTTCTTCCAGAGAATAAGAACTCTTTTCTCCTCCCCCTCACATCCTTCCCACTCTTCCCTGAAGTCCCTTTCAGCCCTTCTTGCACTTTCTCTTTTTATACCAGCCTAATTTCAGATGTCTTACATACCTATTCTGGTAGCTCTTCCATGAATTAGTACTCTTTATCTCATACGCTTTTTCCTTCTTTCACTTGAATTACTACAAAAGCAAAAAAAAAAAAAAGAGAGAGATTTGACTCTTTGGATAAATATCCTTTATTTTTCAGTATTGCTAAATTTAATTGCCATGTAATTATGATTCCTCATGAGCAGAGGGATATATTTTTGTAATTTGTGACTGGTTTATCTGCAGAAATCAAATTGCCAGCAGGATCTTCAGATGTCACTTATAAAGCCTCCTAGGTAGACATTGAGAGCTGCCACCTGAGAGATTTCCTGGCAGATGCTAGCAGTTGTGCAGTACTTCACCTTTGGAGTTTCTGAATCTGTTTTGTACTGTCATGAATATACATTCATTTGAAGAATGCCGATGCGATCTTCTGTCCCTTGGAGCAATTCAGTAAGGAAAAAGAAGTT